AAAAAAGAAAGAAACTTGGAAAGGCGGTTGTTACCCCAGATTTATTAACCACTCATGTACAAAGTACTGTGTTAGGCTTTGTATATGCTCATCTTTGATTTTAGGATGCTCTGTAAACTTTCATTATAGGAAATTTCAAACATAATCAAAAGAAAGAACAGCATAAAGAACCCCCATCGACCTGCCACTCAATTCAGCATTCATCAGCTCATGGCCAGTCTTGTTTCATCTTGTATCCCCTACATATGTCCTGCATCTGGATTAAAGTAAATACCAGACATCAGGTTTTTTGTAGCTGACTTAATTAAGAATAATTAATTATTCATGGACTGGTTAAAAAAAATTTTTAAAGAATAAAATATGGCGGCACCCGTAGCTCAATGGGTAGGGCACCAGCCACATACACCAAGACTGGCAGGTTCGAACCTGGCCTGGGCCAGCTAAAGCAACAAAGACAACTACAACAAAAAAAAATAGCTGGGCGTTGTGGCGGGCGCCTGTAGTCCCAGCCACTCGGGAGGCTGAGGCAAGAGAATTGCCTAAGCCTAGGAGTTGGAGGTTGCTGTGGGCTGTGACACCATGGCACTCTACTGAGGGCAACCGGGTAAGTCTGTGTTTAAAAAAAAAATAGTCGGGCATTGTGGTGGGCACCTGTAGTCCCAGCTACTTGGGAGGCTGAGACAAGAGAATTACTTGAGCCCAGGAGTTTGAGCTTGCTATGAGCTATAGCACCATGGCACTCTACCAAGGATAATATAATGAGACTCTGTCTCAAAAAAAAAAGAATAAGATATAATAATATTATAAGATTATTTATATAATACAATGTAAATGCCCACCAACCCAGGAATGGCTTGACAAGCTGTGGTATATGTATACCATGGAATACTAGTCAGCTACTAAAAAAAGATGGAGACCTTACATCTTTTGTATTAACCTGGATGGAGGTGGAACACATTCTTAGTAAAGTATCACAAGAATGGAGTAGCAAGAATCCAATGTACTCTATTCTAATATGAAGGCAGTAGATGAGCTAATACAAGGGAAGTTTAGGGGAATGAGCAAGTGGGGTGGAGGGAGGTAGATGGGGGGGTCGTGGTGTATGGCACACCACTTGAGGGTGGGACACAATTATAAGAGGGATTTTAACAAATGCAATCAGTGTAACCTAATTCCTTGTACTCTCAACGAATCTCAAACAATAAAAAATAAATAAAGACTAATATATTTGGGCTGGGTGTGGTGGCTCACGTCTGTAATCCTAGCCCTCTGGGAGGCCAAGGCAAGTAGATTGCTTGAGCTCAGGAGTTCCAGACCAGCCTGAGCGAGAGTGAAACCCTGTCTCTAAAAATAGCTGGTATTGTGGCAGATGCCTGTAGTCCCAGCTACTCGGGAGGCTGAGGCAAGAGGATCACTTGAGCCCAAGAGTTTGAGGGCTGTAAGCTAGGACACCAGGGCACTCTACCAAGGGCATCAAAGTGACACTCTTGTCTCAAGAAAAAAAAATAATATATTTTGGATGTATGCTTCATATTTATATATGTATGTGTATATGTGAAATGCATATGCATAAATTATTTGATCTCTTTCCTGAAGAAAAACGGAAAGCTGAGTTCACAAGTGACTTGGACAGTGCAGAGCAAACGCTCATCACATTTACACTGGAAAAGGCAGGTGGAGTGACCTCCAGTTTTCCTTATGCAGCAACCACAACCATAATGATTCAAAGCAGAGGTGGTGATGCCTGCCTCAACGCTAAAGCCTGTTCTTCTACCTTCCCTTCTTTATTTTAAATTCCAGCAAACATTTACTGAGTACCTGCTGCTTGTGGGTACCTTGGAGAATTTAGAAGGGAGTCCCCTTGTGGACAAAGAACTTACTGTCTATACAAGATAGTTTACAAACATTTTTCACAAATAATTTCTTTTTCTAGTTTAATATATTTTAATAACAAACTTAGAGGAACAGCACAGAACACAGACAACATTAAAAACATGTACTGGCATTTAGGACAGCTCAGAAAAAATACAGTGAATGAATGGAATCTACCATATGATACAAAAATGCTACAAAAAACCATTTAGTTGTCATCAATACGAAATTTACTTGATTTTTAAAAATCCAAATGCTGGCATTATCCATAAAAGTTTATAGGTTTGTTTGTAATTGTTATAAAGTTGAATTGCTGAAACTTGTTCACTGAAACATTTTGACTTGCATTAAGGGTTCACATCACTGCAAATATTCACATGCACATGAAAATGGAAAAATCACCAATACCTAATATCTGTCCCTTGTTTTTCCACTCAGTTATATACTTAGGTATCCTTTGACCCCCATGGGGAAAAAAATATCTAACATTTAAAACTACCAACAGGAAGAAAATTTTTTTTTTTTTTGGTAAAATGAAATGTCCCATCATAGTGGATTTTTTTTTTTAAGGCAGTCTCACTACTTCGCCCTTAGTAGAGTGTCATGGCGTCATGGCTCATAGCAACCTCAAACTCTTGGGCTTAAGCATTCTCTTGCCTCAGCTTCCCAAGTGGCTAGGACTATGGGTGCCCACCTCAACGCCTGGCTGTTTTTGTTGTTTTTGTTGTTGTTGTTGTTGTAGTTTTTATTGTTGTTTGGCCGGCCCTGGCTGGGTTCAAACCCGCCATCTCGGTGTATGTGGCTGGCACCCTAACCGCTGAGCTATGGGCACCAAGTCATAGTGGATTCTTAAATACAGTCTCCCAATGCGTGGCGTGCTAGCTGGATGTCTTTTGGCATAATTGTTACATGTCTGGCATGGGTCACACACAGAAGTTGCTATCTTCAAAAAGGCTAAGCAGATGGGCCTCACTTGCCTCCTGCAAAGCACCAATACCTGCGCTCTGGAAGTGCAAATCTGTTTTGAAGTTCTGAGAAATTTCTCCTACCAGACACTGGAAAGGAAATTTGTTAATCAGAAGTTGAGTGAACTGATGATGTCTGATTTCACAGAGTTGGGGGTGGAGGCGTGGTTACCAATACCAAGCCTTTAGCGGTGAGGTTTTTGCAGCCTGTTGCATTCTGGGTGTTTTACCACCGGTGGATTTGCAGGTAGTCTGCATTGTACCACCTGTGATATAAAGACCGCCTTACCCCCTTTTTCCTTTGGCTGGAGCTCAGCAAGCTAGAGGCAGCACTGGCTTAGACCACAAGAACTATACCATAGCAGCTATGAATACAATGCCGCAAATAATTTCTTAAAATAGCCTTATAAGGAAGATAATAGCATTTGTCCCATTTAATGCTAAATGAGGAGGCTTTTCCATATGAGTGGTAAGGTACTTGCCAAGTTAAGACCTAATAAGTAGGCAGTTCCAGACTTTCTGTCCAGTGTTCCTTTCTACTTCACACTATTAACTGATGTGAGAATTTAGGAGGAGGAAGAAAAATAGAGCATAAACCAGGAAAACCTTAGATGAGTAAAACATTGATTGAGAAGAGAATCAGTAAAAGCACAAACAAGGCTTTACAATGCTTGCAGGAGAGTTGGTGTCCTGCTAAGTATCTCCATAGGGGCCATACCAAAGGAGAAAAGAAGGGTAACAGAAAGGAGCCTCATTCTAAAGTGACATAGATAATCTGGGGGGGAGGGTCTTAAGAAGTTGGGAAAATTTGACGAGGGCACAGGAAAGACAGCAACCTTATTTTGTCACCTACCTTATCCTTGTCTGGATTTTTAGAAATTGCAGCTGTGAATATGAGGGTAAGGGTTCTTTTTATCATGTTTACTTTGGATAAGTAGGTGAACATTATACAGAAATCAACAGTACAAAAGCGTATTTAGAGGCCAGGCACAGGGGCTCACACCTATAATCCCAGTGCTGTGGGAGACGGAGGGGATCACCTGAGCTCATGAGTTCAAGACCAGCCTGAACCAGGAAATGCAATTCTAAAATTTTGGCATAAGTTTTTTTTTTTTTTTTGGCAGTTTTTGGCTGGGGCTGGGATTGAACCCACCACCTCTGGCATATGGGGCCGGCCCCCTAATCCTTTGAGCCACAGGCGCCGCCCCTTGGCATAAATTTTGTTTAATCCATTAAAGTATATGCGACTTAGAACACAGCTCCTTTACCACTTATGTTAAAATTTTTTCTTTTGTACTTAATGTGTGTTCACTTGTTTGCCCAGTTACTTCAATTGTAAATGACTTCATTGTGGAATCTGTTCATTCAGTTTTCATGATAGCTATGCTGTCCAATAGAACTTTTCTACAATGATGCTGTCTAATAAAGTTGTAACTAGCCATATATGGCTAATAAGCTCTTGAAATGTGGTAAATGTGACTGAGAAACTAATTTCTTAATTTTATTTAATTATGAACTGACTTAAAATTATTTTTTAAAGACAGTCTTGCTCTGTTACTCAGGTTAAAGTGCAGTCGCTTGGCGTGATCATACCTGTTTATAACCTGGAACTCCTGGGCTCAAGCAATCCTTCCACCTCAGCCTCCTGAGTGGCTAGGACTACAGATGTGTACCACCATGCCCTGCTCACTTTTTAAAATTTTTCTACGGAGATAGGATCTTGAACTCCTAGCCTCAAGCAATCCTCCCTCCTGGCTTCCAGAAGTGCTAGGATTATAGGTGTGAGCTGCCACACCCAGCATGATTTAAATTTTTTAACCCTACGTTAGTATTGGCAACTGTATTGGCTAGCACAGATATAAACTTTTTTGTATTTTATTTTTTGTGCACTTATCTAAAACATTAGGTAGCTAATAATTTATTGAACATATCACAGGCCATTTCTCCTCATTTCTTTTTTTTTTTTTTGGCCAGGGCTGGGTTCGAACCTGCCACCTATGGCATATGGGGCCATCGCCCTACCCTTTTGAGCCACAGTCGCCACCCTTCTCCTCACTTCTTGAGATAGTTTCATTCTAAGGATAAACATATATCTTGAGGACCCATAAGCTAATGCTCATTTTAAGATTGGTCTGTAAAAACCTTTTGTTCATTTTTATGCAGCTGATTTAGAGGAAAGTTTCAATGAACATGAACTGGAGCCCTCATCACCTAAAAATAAAAAGAAAAGTCGCAAAGGAAGGCCCAGAAAAACTAATTTTAAAGGACTGTCTGAAGATACCAGGTCCACATCCTCCCATGGAACAGACGAAATGGAAAGTAGTTCCTATGTAAGTACAAAAGAGTTGGATTCTTGCTTTTTGTTGCACTACAAATATTTCATTTAAACAATGTCTATCGGTAAACTTCATCATTTAAAATGTTAGATAAGCTTGAAGTACTGATAGCATGTTTCTGTGGATTTTTTAAAGTTCTCTGTTTTCTTTTACTTTTGCAGAGAGATAGGTCTCCACACCGAAGCAGCCCTAGTGACACCAGGCCTAAATGTGGATTTTGTCATGTTGGGGAGGAAGAAAATGAGGCAAGAGGAAAACTGCATATATTTAATGCCAAAAAGGCAGCTGCGCATTACAAGTGCATGGTGAGCAGGGTTCTTTCTGTGTTCTTTTAAGACCAAGTGTTTTTGAAAATCATTTAGCTTGTAACCAAATATAGCATTTCTCCTCAGCATTAATATTTTAACAGTTATGAATAGTATGTCTCGTAAGCCCAAATCTTAATAAACTTTAGCTTTTGAAAAATAATACCCTTTATGTTTTGATAGGATTTGAAGCAATTACGTTTTAGTTTTATAAACATGTCGTGAAAGATATTTTAGGCCTCCACTGTAACCTGATGTCTCTGTTATTGGTACTTAACTCAGTGTATTACAGTTATTTATTTATGAGTCTATCTTCAGAGTAGACTCTCAAATTCCTTGAAGTTAAGATGAGGGTAAGTTTTTATCTTAGCATCCTTAGATCCAGGCGTGACTTGCAGTACACATGGATGTTTTTGAATTACATTGTCATTTGTTGTTGTTGTTGTTGTTGTTGTTGAGACAGAGTCTCACTTTGTCACCCTCGGTAGAGTGCTGTGGTGTCACAGCTCACAGCAACCTCAAACTCTTGGGCTTAAGCAATTCTCTTGCCTCAGCCTCCCAAGTAGCTGGGACTACAGGCGCACACCACAACGCCTGACTTTTTTTTTTTTTATTGTTGTAGTTGTCATTGTTGTTTAGCAGGCCTAGGCCAGGTATGTGGCCGGTGCTATAACCACTAAGCTACAGGCACTGAGCCAGAATTACGTTGTCTTGAATTACTCACCCATTTATGATTAGGTTTTTAAAATTTTATTATTTCTGTTAGATTCTTAACCAGAGTGCATATCAGATTTACCTGGGGAGGTTTTTCCAAAATATGTATCCCTAGGACCCCATGGGCAGATTGCAGACATGTCTGTTTAGGAGGGGGAAATCCTCAGGTGGTTCTGATCTACTATTTTTTTAAAGCTTTAAATAAGCTATATTGTTATTCAGAATTACTCTCAGCTTTGTGGAAATGTAAAAACAGTTGAGACAACGTGGTGACATCAATGTAATCTTCATTATTTAAAGATGGTTATTTAATCTTAGCTCTACACAAGCAATCTTAGTTTGATTTCAGTGTCTATATTTGAGGTCATATTTTAATCAGATGTGTGAAGATATTAAAACTATTTGAGTTAGTACTTGATTATTGAGGTAAAATCATATTTCTCAGGAAATTAAAGTAATACAGGATGTTTGTTATTATCCTTAATCTTTTTCTCATAAGGATTCTGAATGTTAATGTTCCTGCATTTTTTTCCTCTAGTTATTTTCTTCTGGCACAGTCCAGCTCACAACAACATCAAGAGCAGAATTTGGAGACTTTGATATTAAAACCGTACTTCAGGAGATTAAGCGAGGAAAAAGAATGGTCAGTGGTTTTTATATTTGTTATTCAGAATTACTCTCAAAATTCTGCTTTAAATTTAGGACACAGCTTAAATATATCAAGTCATCCAAAAATTTAATATAAAGTAGTTCATATGTGAAAGTATATATTTCCCTTACTTATATTATAATAAAGGATGCTAATGTTACTGACACTTAATTTCTCTATTAACTTCATTACTTAAGAGAACTATACTAAAAATATTTATATTTCAAGGAATTTGTGAGCCATTAGTGAGGATATGAATGTGACAAACTTTACTAAGTTTAAAATGTTATCTTGTGTAAACTTAAAGGAAATTTTTTTTCAGGGCTTTCTGTTCAGTGAAAATGCGCATAATGGTTATGTACCTTAAAATGTTTATCATAGATTTAAAGTTTCCTATGTAAAATGTACCTTAGTCTCATGTTTTTAAACATACTAAATTATTAATAAGTAGCTTTAAGAAATATTGACATTTTCTTGATAATTCCTTTAAAGCTTATATTACCAAATGTCAGTGCAATGCAAAGTAACACATACCTGTCCATCACCTTGATTCATCAGTAATCAAGAATTTGCAGCACTCATTTTGTCTATGTTTTTTTATTCTTGTTGCTTGAAGTATTTTAAAGCAGAGTTCCCCCTTCATATAATTTCACCTCTACATAGTTCAGTATGTATCTCTTAATGATGGAACAATTTATTGTTGAACATTACCTAACCACAATGATGTTGGTACCTTCTAAATTAATAATTCTTCAGTGTCATTTAATACCTAGTTCATATTGGTACCATGTTTCCCTGAAAATAAGACTTACCCAAAAAAATGAGCCCTAGCAGGATTTCTATGCATTTGTTAAATATAAGCCCTACCCCAATAATAAGACCTAGTGATGGGTGTGGCCACGCCATGCATTTCAGCACAGAGAGAAGACATCCCCCTGAAAATAAGCCCTAGTGTGTCTTCTTGAGAAAAAATTAATATAAGACAGTATCTTATTTTGGGGGAAACACAGTATTTCCCCAACTGTCTCAAAACTCTCTGTAAGGTTGATTTACGTGAATTAAGATTCAACAGAGGACCACACATTACATTTGGTTCTAATACCCCTTACATAATCTAGGACAGTCCTCCTCCTCCTCTTTGTTTTTGTTTTTGTTTTGTATGCCATTTACTTGTTAATGAAAATGAATTATCCTGTAGAATGTCCCACATTTTTGTCTGTTTGCTTTTTCATGATACCATTTGACTTGTCCCTGTATCTTCCATGTTTCTTTTAAAGTAGTACTTATGTGTATAGGTTTGGTTAGATTCGGTTTCAACTTTTTGAGAGGTAAGGATACTTCACAGGTAGAAGTGTATCATCTGTATTTCATCACATCAGACAAGTTGCAATATCTGATCCTTAGATTCAAGTGGTAAGTCTAATCCCTCCATTGTGAAGTTCCTCTTCAGTCTTTCTTCTGATGGTTTCAGATATTTATGAACCTTGTCTCAATCTATTAGAAATGATGCCTTCTGGGAGGCACCTATGGCTCAAAGGAGTAGGGTGCCGGCCCTATATATCAAAGGTGGTGGGTTCAAACCCAGCCCCGGCCAAAAACTTCAACAAAAA